CGCCTGCACAAGCAATAGCGAAGTCATCAACATAGAGTGATGACCAAATATTTGATGGAAGACTAGAGGCCAAATCATTTATAGCAAGGAGAAAAAGTGTTGTGCTCAGAACACATCCCTGAGGGACACCTTCAGCTTGGACAAAGTCCGGGGAAAGCACATTATTGACTCAAACAGGGAAGTGTCTGTCAGTTAAAAAGTTCTTAAGGAAGGATGGTAGATTGCCTCAGAGGCCTAAGGAGTGGGCTTGGGCCAAAATATTATACCTCCAAGTTGTGTCATATGCCTTCTCAAGGTCAAAAAATATGGCAATAACCGAGTGATTATTTGCAAAGGCATTATGAACATACTTATCCAAGCGTAGTAAGGGGTCTATGGTAGAATGGCCCTTACGAAAGCCATATTGACTAGCGGAGAGACTGTTGTGTGTCTCTAAATACCACATTAAACGGCGATTTACCGGACGTTCCATCACTTTGCAAACTGCACTAGTAAGAGCGATGGGATGATAGTGGGAGGCATCATGTCCTGTAGTACCCGGCTTGCGGAAAGGGAGAACAACGGCAGATTTCCACAGCTGGGGAAGAACTCCTTGTGCCAAAATAAGATTGAAGAGGTGTAAGAGGACTACAAGGGCTGACTGATGTAAATGTTGTAACATACGAATGTGAATGTCGTCAGGTCCAGCTGCCGATGATCGGCAAGCTGAGAGTGTTGCCTCCAGTTCCTGAAGTGTAAAAGGCACATTATACTGTTCTTCTCTGAGAGAAGAAAAGTCCAAGGGTACTAACTCTCTGGCAGACTTTGAGGAAAGAAACGAGGGGCATAGATGGAGCCCCCGGGAAATACGGTCCAGATGAGTACCAATTTCAATGGCAACGTCAAGAGGGTTTGCTACATCAATACTGGAGACCCGTAGAACAGGAGCCTGGTCAAGAGAGTATTTACCACTCAATTTCCTCACTTTTTTCCAGACTGCACTCATAGAGGAAGCAGAGGTGATGGTGGAAACATAGTCTCGCCAACAAGCGCGTTTAGCATCACGGATGACATGGCGAGCGATCGCACGCTTCTGCTTAAAATCAAGAAGTCTCTCATTGGTTCTATTGTATCGGTACCTGCCCCATGCAGTGCATTTCAAACGTACTGCACGAGCACAAGCAGGAGACCACCAAGGCACGCACTTCTGAGAATGCTTGCCTGAGGTTTGGGGTATAGAATGAGAAGCTGCGGTATAAACTGACGTCGAGAAGAGGTGTAGGAGCTCATCAATGGAGGATGAAGAAGGAACCTCACTAAAAGCAGTGAGCTGCGAGTAAAGGTCCCAATTTGCCCGATCAAATTGTCAGCGAGGGCTACGGAAAGGTGGTGAATATGAAGGAGAAGTAAGAATGATCGGAAAATGATCGCTGTCATGCAAGTCTGGTAGAACAGACCAGGTGAAGTCTAGTGCAGTGGAGGAAGAGCAGACTGATAGATCGATGCAAAAGAGAGTATGAGTACGAGGATCAAAATGGGTGGGAGTACCCGTATTTAAAACATGGAGGGGGTAAAAGGCGAGAAAAGCCTCCAACTGGATGCCACGTGAGTCACAATGAGACCCCCCCCAGAGGAAATGGTGGGCGTTAAAATCACCAAGTAACAGAAGTGGTGTTGGTAAGGATGAAACAAGAAAGGCAAAGTCTGGGATAGAAAATGCTCGAGAAGGAGAGAGATATAAAGAACATATTGTAAACCACTTATTCAAGTAGATACGGGCTGCAGTGTAATGCAGCGAGGTATGGACAAATAGTTGACAGTACGGAATATCACTTCGTAGAAGAAGGGCACTTTCATTAAAGGTCCCATCTGAGAAAGGATCCGAAGAATACAATAAATTATAGCCTGAGATAGGTTGGAAAACAGCTGAGTGTAGTTTTGGTTCTTGTAAGCAAGCACCAACAGGGGAAAACCTGGAAAGCAACATCTGAAGCTCACCCTGATTACCCCTGAGGCCGCGGATATTCCACTATAAATAGGCCATGATTGGCGATGAAGAAAATACCAGGAATCCGTAGGGAAAGGCACCTATGGACTAGAGGGGTTAGAAAAGTCAACGTGTGGTGGCATTGGAAGACATTCAAGCAGTGAAGGAAAGGAGCGTTGTGAAGAATGGGGTTGTGAAGATGGAGGAGAGGGAAGAGAAGGAACAGGAAGTGAATCAGTGTCCATTGAAGGTTTAGTCTCTGCAATATATTCTGAAATGGCTTCAAGTGTTTCTGAATTCAAAGATGTATGGGAGACCATATTGGAGGTAGAAGGGGGAGGGTGAGTAAAGATTGGGACTGTAATGGACTGTACCAAAGTAGAGGGGGACGAAAGAGTGTAAGGGACTGGAGATGAAGTGTGGGGGGGACAGAAGAGGCAGAAACCTGGGAGGTGGCAGAAGAGGGAGAAACTTGGGAGGGACGGGGGTGGAAGGCATAGTACGAGGAGGAGGGTGAATCTCCACACTTGTAATAGAGCCAGAGAGAGGGGAAGAACTAGGCACAGAGACTGGAAAGGTAAAGTGTGGAGGTGGAAGAAGGGAAGGAAGGGGCAAAGAAGATTTGAGCAATGTGGATTTTTTGGACTTCTGAGAAGTAGAGGGGCGATTGGTATAAGGTGTCGTACGAGGTCTTGTCGATACTGGGGCTTGTGAGGAAGGACGCGAAGATGTGAGAACAGACTGAGTTGTAGTCGGAACGTCAGAGCCAAGGACAGCAAAAGGATTAGATGCCGGAGTGGCTATGGGAGGGGTAACACCAGAGGAGGCTGCAGAAGATGGGACCCCAGAAGTGGGGGGATGTTTTGAAACATGAGAATAAGAAACACGGGGTAGTCTCCCTTGGAGGCGGAGATAGATGAGTAACTGCCATAGCATAAGGGAGACCTGCCTCTTTGAGGCAACGGATTTCATGTTCATTTAAGTAGACCTGGCAACGGCGGGAGTACGAAGGGTGAGCTTCATTACAATTAAGGCAAGATGGCGGTTGACTGCAAGATGTATTAGAATGGTCGTCGGCACCACAGACTGGGCATTCGGCTATAGATCTGCAATATTTCGCTGGGTGACCAAAATGCCAGCAATTTCTACACTGTTGCAGTGTAGGTATCACCTTTCGAACTTGTAACCGATGTCCCGCGACATATACAGAGGACGGGAGTTCTCGGCTGTCAAAAGTTAAACGAGCCACATTGCAAAGGTAACGTCTCCGCCCACGGGCAGGAAGGACATAAGTGTCTACTTTGAGGATTGGGAGATCCTGGAGTTCCAGCTGTTCAAGAATGTCATTGCCACATGACTGGAAATTCTGTTGGACTATGGTATGGGGCAGAATGACAGTACCACTACAAGAATTGAGAGAAAGATGCTTTTCAATAGTGATAGGAGTAGTATCGATATTCGAAAGGAGAGAAAGATCATGAGCTTGGGTAGCATTCTGGACAGTGACGATGCACATACCGCTCTTGAGAGCATGAAATGAAATATCTCTACCAACATGACGCAGGAGCGCTTTGCCAATACTATGGTCAGAAAGATAGGCAGAAGAAGAAGTCGGTCTTAAAGTAAAGAATTTAGTCCATTGTGTGGTCCGAAACTGAGCGTGGAGAGGGAGTGCATGACGTGTCGGTCTTTTCCGAGTAGAATGGGAAGGTAACGAAGGAGCATCATCAGGAGATTGACGTTGGCGTTTAGGAGTAGGACCGGAGTTGGTCCGGCATGAAATGGGCTGGCGATTCGAAAATTGCCGTACCGTAGATGGAGAGGCTGGAAGCATAGACAAAGGAGAGCAGAGGTCAGACAAATCGAAGGAGTCAGTCGAAGCCCCGGTACCTGAAGCAGGTGAGGAAACAGCACCAGCAAGAGGTACAGGGGCATCAGGAGTGTCCGAAGAGTGGTCTAAAAACAAGGCAGGGTCAGAATGGGGTGCGGTATCAAGAAGGGGCCCGGGGTAGTGGGTTCATGGATTGAGTTCTCCATGGTTAGGTTACTCCTTTGCTTTTTGTTTTTAAGAAAAAAAAAGAAAGAAAAGAAAATAAAAATAAAAGAAAAGAATAAAAAAAGGGGGGAGCGGGGAGGAATAGTTCCCAGGAGGAATGAAAGGGCCGGAAATCTCCCTCCGCACCCAAGAGGACCTCAGCACCGCTAGTAGCGCAGATGCAGCATGGAACCCGTGCCATACCCCACCCTTCATGTCAGTAAACCAGCAATCCGGGATAGCAACCTCACATCTGTCGAGCTACCTCGGTGGACAAAAGAGAGGGCGGCCGGATATCTGCCACAAAGCATACCTCCTTCGGCCACCACCCCCGGAATCCGAAAGGTGGCTTCCAGAGATACACCCGTCGCCTGAAAGACACCCAAAGCTACTCCGGGATATCAGAGAGGGATCGGGACATCCCCAGGCGATCCAGATTCCACGGCAAACTACGCCACCACCAAGAACCTCAATGAAATGGGATGGACCCCGGTATCCTTTCCCCTACCTAGGAACTAGCGCGCCTGTGGGAGAAATCCCAAAGGCCAAAAAGAGGAAGGGCAAAAGGGAGGGGTGGGGAGGAGGAAAGGAAAAAGGGGAGGATGGGATAGGGAGGGGGATATTGGAGGGTAATTAGGTTCGGTCTGAGGAAGGAAACCGACAGGTCTGATTCCTCAGACCAAGAGCCTCTTCACCACAACAAGGAGCCCCCCTTGAAGAGGGCAACAATATATAGTTGTTTTAGTTTTTGATGCATGGAAAAATTGTCATAATGCAAATTTAGTGCACAGTATATTCAGCAATAAAACTAAGTCAAGTGTCTACTAGGAATTGTGGTCAGATTTAAGAACCTGATTACTGTAATAAATCATCTATTAGATTTTTATTCGAGTTCAAAATTGTTTTGTGGCAGTTCTCTACATTAAAAGTGGTCCTGAAGAATCATGTTATTGCTAACATTTCATATTGGTAAGATTAGTGATAAAAATACTCTCTTAATGCTTTACCATTCGTCATCTTTATTGAAACTGGAATGGTATATAAATACTGACAAGGTGAAGTAATCATCAGCTTACACCATATTTCTAAGTTACCAAGGTGTAGAGGAACAAACATAACAGTCTGGTGTAAATCCTGCAATGCTCCCTCACCTTGAGATACTCCCATGCACCTTACCTTTCTTTATCTGTATTTGGATACATATAGTACTCCTCTAGTGACTTTATTAACCCTTTGACTATCGCATGCCCCTTTCTGAAACTGTCATTCTATGTTGATAAATTTTTGGAAAAAAAAAAAAAAATCTTATGAAATGATAGAGAATCTTTTCCCGATAGTAATGACACCAAAAGTACGAAATTTGGTCGAAAACTCATGGAATTATGCTCCCGCGAAGTTAGTGGTCTCGGTGACATATACGCATCGGCGATTTCGCTGACTTTTAGCCCTGTTTTTGGCCGATTCTGTTGTTCCAGTTGACCAAACTCATAGCTATTTCTTTAGAACTCCATTTTCTCTTATCAGTTGAGTACAAGAAACTGCCCCTTTTACCAATTTGAATTACCCAATGAAGTGGTCAGAAATTGGCAATTTGGCCAATTTCATGCAAATTAAAAAAGATGCCAATTTCAAAATAGGGTCCAGAATAAACAATGTAGACATTCTTGGCACTAAAATAACATATCCTCTGTTCATTAGTCACATCTCTAGGCCACTCTTATATTACTATTGCTTTCAATTTTGATTTTTTATTCATACAAAAAAATACAAAATTTACTGTTATGCAGACTACTGCATTATTGTAAAAATGATATAAATAATATCAATGCACTAGTGAAAGAATATTAGACTCCCCAGTTGACGTGTATTGGATGTGTGGTGTGATTTGCTTACTCCTGAACTTTGGTAAAAATCGAACATTTCCGCTACTTTGAGCTCAGTTTCAAGGTCGTTTTCATCGTGAAAGTAATCAAATTATTATTATAATCAAAAGAAGTGCTAAGCCCCAAGGGCTAGAAAGTAATCAAAATCATCTCTATTTCTGTAATATGTTTTCCATTTTATCACCTGAGACCATGAAAACGAGAATACAACGGTAAATACTAAATAAAAATACACCTCAAAGTCGCCGTTTTAATCCAAAAAAATGGTCAGTTTTTTTCTCATAATGCACCGCGTGCTGTAGGATTTTTTTATGTGGTGCACACTGACCCATTCTCTCATATGTGGGCCTACCAGCTTTCTCCCGCTTGATTTGAAGCCGCTAGAATTTACGCGTATAAATACGTCAGAAGCAATGGTGCGTAAGATGTATATATACGACTGAAACAGTCAAAGGGTTAATGCTCACTGTGTACATGAAATGTTATTGTTAAAGTACATATCACTGCATCTAAGTATCATTTTCCCTTTCATCTTTATTGATAATGTATCTTACACCGTTGTTAAAAACTGAGTTAATATAAATGGACACTCTTGTTCTTATTTACCCATCATTATGTGACTAGAGATGTGTCCATTCTTCCTCTGGACTATCATCTGATGATCCACTTTCATTTTCCTGATCTAAGTCAGGAGAAGGTTTCCTCTTATCGCCTAATTTACCTACTGTTGCATAAATTTCTCGATTATCCGATTCTACATTGTCATAGAGACTTCTACGGACATTAGAGATCTGATCGTATTCCCCGTCTAATGGCGTCATAGACTGATGGGACATAAATCCCAATGGTTGGAATGTAATATTGGATGATTGATCCTTGATATCTACTGGATGGAGGCTTGACAGGTGCATGGGAAGGATCACCTCCTCTTGACTACTTGTAATAGGAGGAGGTGCCACTTGTCCATCTCCCTGTTGTGAGGTTAGCACACGAAACACCTATGTAGAGAAAGATATTAGAGATAGTTCAACATCATATATATTGTGACATCATTATGCAGAACATCTTGAATAATTTATTATCACCAGGAAAAGAAGAAACCTCTAAGTAAACTGCACACATCATGAAGAATTTTGTCCTAAAAATATGGCTAATATGTTCTAAGAATAAAAGATAGCAAGATGTCAGTTTGGACTTCATGTCAGTGTTGGTATTTCTAATAAATCACTGTATTTCCTAAATTTGAGGTTCCTGAAGATTTGATAGACTTATTGTCTTTAAGACAACCTTGATGGGTTTACTGGCAAGACCAATCAGGATAACTTGTATCGTTCAAATACAAGCATACTACGTACAGGATAAAGTAAAAATTTTGTCCACCATAATATTTTTGAGTACCTTATAAGCACTGAAAGATTTTAAAATGCATGACATAGTCACAGACCCCCCCTCCCCCCACTTTGGAAAGAAACTGTAGATAATAGTTCAGTCCGTTATCATTGACAGCTTGAAAAAGCGTGTCATTATGGGTAGATATTGCTTAGAACATAGGAAACACCTTACCATCTTTGCTACAGCATTATTGCCACTTTCACTGATATCAACTTTTATTCAATATGCTACTTTCTAAGCACAAGTCTTCTGCATTTATACTTAAGAATGAACTTACTTCATTTAGTGTTGTCTGTGATACATCATATTCTGTGACTCCCATTGACTTTGCAGCATTGAGTGAATCAAAGATGAGTCGAAGTGGCAAACAACGACTCACTTCAGCTACTACAGTAAGGTGATGCTGTTCCTGAAAACAATTACGGACATGTAAAGTTGATGAAATAAATGCTGAACTTGTTATAATTGTTAATGCAGATCAAAAGTAGCATATTATATTTTCCAGTGGGAGTTCCATTATTTATTGGCTTAATGTAAACTTGTTGCAGTATCTCTAAGTTCTTTGATATGTGTCTGTCTCTCTAGAGTACTTTATGTAATTTTTCAGGTGCAATTTTCTTGTCTAATGAATCTGGGAAGTTCCAATCTCTTAGAAATATAATATCTGGTACAGGATTTTCTATGATTTTTAAAGAATAATTATTTGAAATACAGTACAACAATAAGAAACTGATCACATTTAAATTGTGTTACCTTGAGAATAACATCAGCAAGTTGACTGCGCAAAAAATCTAAAACACATTCCATGTCTTCAATATCCTTTGTTTTTAGCCGTATTGTGTACCTTTCACCAAGTCTGAAAATAGTTATATGGCAAATTAGAAAGACGTGATAATGAAACTAAGGAAGAAAGCATTGAAATTCTTATATATACTGCTATGAACAGTTTGTAGACCATTTTCTTTACTCCTTATGAACCTTCCTCTTCCTTAGGTCAAACCTGATGATCTCCCAGTCCTTCCAGGTACTAGATAAGTTTTAGGGGTTTAGCACATTGCCATAAATACTGTCTTAATTTTCCTCTAAAGTAAGATTTTAAAAAACTGAAAATCTTGAGTACCATTTTATATTTGAATCTAGAAGATGCATAAAAGATCCTATAAGAATTACAATATATATACATGTATATGTATAGTTTTTAAACTCAATAGCTGTCTCTCACCAAGGCAGTGTGACCCAAAGAAGAAAACATTCACCATCATTCATTCAACTGCTGTCTTTCCAGAAGTGTGCTGACATCATAATCAGATTATCAATTGAGTACAACCTCTCCCCCCCTCCTCCAGAGTTCAAGCACTGCCCAATCTCATGGGGATAGTGGACTAGAATTCTTCCCCATAAGCCATGCATGTCATCAATTGCCAGCAGCAATTGACTTTATTTTTTTTTTAACAAGTCAGCCGTCTCCCACTGAGGCAGGGTGACCCAAAAAAGAAAGAAAATCCCCAAAAAGAAAATACTTTCATCATCATTCAACACTTTCACCTCACTCACACATAATCACTGTTTTTGCAGAGGTGCTCAGAACACAACAGCTTAGAAGCATATACCTATAAAGATACACAACATATCCCTCCAAACTGCTAATAGTATCCCGAACCCCTCCTTTAGAGTGCAGGGATTGTACTTCCCATTTCCAGGACTCAAGTCCGGCTATATAAAAATAACCGGTTTCCCTGAATCCCTTCACTAAATATTACCCTGCTCACACTCCAACAGATCGTCAGGTCCCAAATACCATTCGTCTCCATTCACTCCTATCTAACACACTCATGCACGCTTGCTGGAAGTCCAAACCCCTCGCCCACAAAACCTCCTTTACCCCCTCCCTCCAACCTTCTCGAGGACGACCCCTACCCCTCCTTCCTTCCCCTACAGATTTATACACTCTCCATGTCATTCTACTTTGATCCACTCTCTCTAAATGACCAAACCACCTCAACAACCCTTCTTCAGCCCTCTGACTAATACTTTTATTAACTCCACGCCTTCTCCTAATTTCCACACTCCGAATTTTCTGCATAATATTTACACCACACATTGCCCTTAGACAGGACATCTCCACTGCCTCCAACCGCCTCCTCGCTGCTGTATTCACAACCCAAGCTTCACACCTATATAAGAGTGTTGGTACTACTATACTTTCATACATTCCCTTCTTTGCCTCCATAGATAACGTTTTTTTGTCTCCACGTATACCTCAACACACCACTCACCTTTTTTTCCTCCTCAATTCTATGATTAATCTCATCCTTCATAAATCCATCCTCCAACACGTCAACTCCCAAGTATCCGAAAACATTCACTTCTTCCATACTCCTCCTCCCCAATTTGATATCCAGTTTTTCTTTATCTAAATCATTTGATACCCTCATCACCTTACTCTTTTCTATGTTCACTTTCAATTTTCTACCTTTACACACACTCCCAAACTCATCCACTAACCTTTGCAATTTTTCTTTAGAATCTCCCATAAGCACAGTATCATCAGCAAAAAGCAACTGTGTCAATTCCCATTTTGTATTTGATTCCCCATAATTTAATCCCACCCCTCTCCCGAATACACTAGCATTTACTTCTTTTACAACCCCATCTATAAATACATGGTGACATTACACATCCCTGTCTAAGACCTACTTTTACTGGGAAGTAGTCTCCCTCTCTTCTACACACCCTAACCTGAGCCTCACTATCCTCATAAAAACTCTTTACAGCAGTTAGTAACTTACCACCTATTCCATATACAGTGGACCCCCGCTTAACGATATTTTTTCATTCCAGAAGTATGTTCAGGTGCCAGTACTGACCGAATTTGTTCCCATAAGGAATATTGTGAAGTAGATTAGTCCATTTCAGACCCCCAAACATACACGTAACAAACGCACTTACATAATTGGTCGCATAGGAGGTGATCGTTAAGCGGGGGTCCACTGTACTTGCAACATCTGCCACATTGCTCCCCTATCCACTCTATCATATGCCTTTTCTAAATCCATAAATGCAATAAAAACTTCCCTACCTTTATCTAAATACTGTTCACATATATGCCTCAATGTAAACACTTGATCTACACATCCCCTACCCACTCTGAAACCTCCTTGCTCATCCGCAATGCTAACGTTCTGTCTTACCTCTAATTCTTTTAATTATAACCCTACTGTACACTTTTTCCTGGTATACTCAGTAAACTTATTCCTCTATAATTTTTTACAATCTCTTTTGTCCCCCCTTCCCTTTATATAAAGGGACTATACATGCTCTCTGCCAATCCCTAGGTACCTTCCCCTCTTTCATACATTTATTAAACAAAAATACCAACCACTCCAACGCTATATCCCCCCCTGCTTTTAACATTTCTGTCATGATCCCATCAGTTCCAGCTGCTTTAACCCCTTTCATTCTACGTAATGCCTCACGTAACTCCCCCACACTTACATTCTGCTCTTCTTCACTCCTAAAAGATGGTATACCTCCCTGACCAGTGCATGAAATTACTGCCTCTCTTTCTTCCTTAACATTTAAAAGTTCCTCAAAATATTCTCGCCATCTACCTAATACCTCCATCTCCCCATCTACTAACTCCCCTACTCTGTTTTTAACTGGCAAATCCATTCGTTCTCTAGGCTAAGAATTTCTTAACTTGTTTAACTCACTCCAAAATTTTTTCTTATTTTCATTAAAATTTCTTGACAGTGCCTCTCCCACTCTATCATCTGCTCTCTTTCTGCACTCTCTTAACATTTCTTTTACTCTCCATATACTCTACTCTTCTTATAAATTTTTATAAATTTCCTTAATTTTTTTAAATATTCTATTTAAGAATTAGTAAAATGTAATAGTTTGGTGCCTCTGTGTCTCTCTCTCTCTTTGCCAATAATATATTAAATAAAGTTAAATTTAGAAGTAATACCCTAAAACTATAACTTGCCAAATGTCATTCAAAATTAATTACCCTTTGTTTTTTATGCATGAATTTACAAGTTAGAAACTATTATCCTATCTCAGTCCATTTCAAAGCTCAGTCCTCTCTTAGGTATTACCTGGAGTATACCTGGAGAGAGCTCCGGGGGTCAATGCCCCCACGGCCCGGTCTGTGACCAGGCCTCATGGTGGATCAGGGCCTGATCAACCAGGCTGTTACTGCTGACCGCACGTAATCCAACTTACGAGCCACAACCTGGCTGGTCAGGTACTAACTTTAGGTGCCTGTCCAGGCCTGCTTGAAGACAGCAAGGGGTTTATTGGTAATCCCCATGATGTATGCTGGGAGGTAGATGAACAGTCTCGGGCCCTTGACACTTATTGTGTTGTCTCTTACTGTGCTAATGGCACCCTTGCTTTTCATTGGGGAATATTGCACCATCTGCCAAGTCTTTTGCTTTCATAGGGAATGATTTTTGTGTGCAAGTTTGGTATCAGTCCCTCTAGGATTTTCCAGGTGTACATAAACATGTATCTCTCCCTCCTGCATTCTAGGTAGTACAGGTTTAGGAACTTCAAGAGTTCCCTGTAATTGAGGTGGTTTATCGCAGTTGTACGTGCCATGAAGGTTCTCTGTACATTTTCTAGGTCAGCAATTTCACCTGCCTTGAAAGGTATACAACCATCCCCTGAATGAGACAACAAATGGCTAACACTTGGGTACCTATTTGGTAAATGGAAATTAAGTCACAGGAAAGAAAAGTCACAGAAAAAATAGTTAGCTTAGGTTAAGCTAGATTAAGTTAGGTTAGGTTTACCAGCACTATGTCTAACTACAAGCAAATATGACTTTTTTTCTGTGACTTTTTTTTGTACCTGGATTCACTTATATACTGTTAGGTGAACAGGGCAACAGGTGTAAAGACACTTGTTTATTGCTTCTACTCCCTCTTTTATTCACAGGATAGAGCTACATCTATCCTGGTTACAGACCAGGCTATGGGGGCTGTGACTCCCCAAAACCCTCTCCAGGTAGGTATACTCCAGGTATACATGCATCCAAAACTACTATAATACACCATGTCCAGTTTATGGGTTAAAGTATAATACAATATAAATATGAACAGTATTTAAGCTTTTAAAAACAATACTAACTTGTATTTGAGATAATGAGGTGACCCAATACAGACAAATTGTCCATTAACCATTATAGCCATTCTGTGAGAAAGCTGGTCAATTTCATCCATGGAATGTGATGTCAGCAACACAGTGCGGCCCTCGCTGGTCACACTCCGTATTGCACGCCAAACTAAACGGCGAGAGGCTGGATCCATTCCCCTGAGAAATAAAATGAAAATGACCAGAACATAAAGTGTACTATAGCATTCTTAGATGTGTACTCACCTAGTTGTGGTTGCAGGGAGTCGAGTCACAGCTCCTGGCCCAGCCTCTTCACTGGTCACTACTAGGTCACTCTTCCTGCTCCATGAGCTTTATCATACCTCTTCTGAAAGCTATGTATGGATCCTGCCTCTATTACATCACTTCCCAGACTATTCCACTTCCTGACAACTCTGTGACTATAGAAATACTTCCTAAAATCCCTGTGATTCATCTGAGTCTTTATCTTCCAACTGTGACCCCTTGTTGCTGTGTCCCATCTCTTGAACATCCTGCCTCTGTCCACCTTGTCAATTCCTCTCAGTATTTTACATGTCGTTATTTTATTTTATTTATTTTTTTTTTTCAACAAGTCGGCCGTCTGCCACTGAGGCAGGGTGACCCAAAAAAGAAAGAAAATCCCCAAAAAGAAAATACTTTCATCATCATTCAACACTTTCACCACACACACATAATCACTGTTTTTGCAGAGGTGCTCAGAATACAACAGTTTAGAAGCATATACGTATAAAGATACACAACATATCCCTCCAAACTGCCAATATCCCAAACCCCTCCTTTAAAGTGCAGGCATTGTACTTCCCATTTCCAGGACTCAAGTCCGACTATATGAAAATAACCGGTTTCCCTGTATCCCTTAACTAAATATTACCCTGCTCACACTCCAACAGATCGTCAGGTCCCAAGTATCATTCGTCTCCATTCACTCCTATCTAACATGCTCACGCACGCTTGCTGGAAGTCCAAGCCCCTCGCCCACAAAACCTCCTTTACCCCCTCTCTCCAACCCTTTTGAGGATGACCCCTACCCCTCCTTCCTTCCCCTATAGATTTATATGCTTTCCATGTCATTCTACTTTGATCCATTCTCTCTAAATGACCAAACCACCTCAACAACCCCTCTTCTGCCCTCTGACTAATGCTTTTATTAACTCCACACCTTCTCCTAATTTCCATACTCTGAATTTTTTGCATAATATTTACAACACACATTGCCCTTAGACAGGACATCTCCACTGCCTCCAACCATCTCCTCGCTGCTGCATTTACCACCCAAGCTTCACATCCATATAAGAGTGTTGGTACCACTATACTTTCATACATTCCCTTCTTTGCCTCCCTATTTCTCCTGTCCTCCAGAGTCGTCAGGTCGATTTCCCTTAACCTCTCCTCATAGGACATGCCCCTTAGCTCCAGGACTAGTTGCAATTATTATAATCAAATAAAAAAGAAGCACTAAGCCACAAGGGCTATACAGCGCTGCAGGGTAGGGAAGGAAGCGAGGGTATTGGGCGGCAGAAGGGAGGAGGGATGATTGGTAGGCTACAGAAAACAGCGGGACAGGGGATAGTTCGGGGGTATTGGGTAGCAAGAGATTGAGGTAGAAAGGGCTGAAGGTATCAGAATTTGTGAAGTAAGTCAGTTGTTGTCAAAAAGTCAATGAGAGAGTCCGGATGAAAGGTGGGTCCATCAGCGAGAAGGGAAGGTAAAGAGAGAGCAGTGGAGCGAAGACGACGATGGAGGTAAATTCTGCGTGCTCGTTGATAAAGTGGGCAGTCCAACAGAATGTGGCTGACTTTTAATGGAGCCTGGCAATTCTCACAGAGAGGAGCAGGGCACCTCTCCATGAGATATCCATGAGTAAGACGAGTATAGGCAATGCGAAGATGGGAGAGAGTAGTCTCCCAACCTCGACACTGGTGATAAGAAGACGGCCAGTAACCTATACTCGGTTTAATAGATTGAAGTTTGTTACCGAGCATAGTAGACCAACGTTGTTGCCAACGCGTGTGAAGGTGGGAAGATATTGCAGCAAAATAGTCCATAAATGGAATACCTCTATATGAAACTGGTAGGTCATGTACTGCTGACCGCGCAGCAGTGTCTGCCTGTTCATTGCCCTGTATGTCAACATGACCAGGGACCCAACAAAAAACAACATCTTTATGCTTGGTAAAGATGCGGCGTAGCCAAAGTTGGATACGGAGGACTAAGGGGTGAGGTGTATCAAATTTCTGTATAGCCTGTAAAGCACTAAGGGAGTCTGAGACAATCACAAATGATGACACAGGCATAGATGCAACACGGATAAGTGCTGCAAGGATGGCATACAATTCAGCAGTAAAAATACTAGCCGAAGATAGTAAATGCCCTCGCACGACGCTGTCCGGAAACACTGCTGTGAATCCTACGCAGTCAGAAGACTTAAAGCCATCTGTGTACACAGGAATGGAATGAGAATGAGAGTGGAAGTGGTCAAGAAGAAGAGAGCGGGAAGCGACCATAGACAGTTGGGCTTTCGAGCAAGGGAGAGAGAAAGAGCAGACTTGAACAGCTGGAACTTCCCAGGGGGGTAGGGAAAAGTGAGATGCTACATGAACATAGAAAGGTGGTAATTGAAGAGAAGACGAGCGAATGAAGGCGAAGAGAGAAGGGACGGAGTAAACAGGGGCGGCGAACAAATAAAAAATGTCTACTAATATCAGTGACCATTCTATAAATGGAAGGATTGTGGAGATCATGAGAGCGTACATAGTAGCGAAGGCAATGGGCATCACAGTGATCGGATAAGGATGGAACGTTCGCTTCTGCATAGAGGCTCTCAACAGGGGAAGAGCGAAAAGCACCAAGGCATAAATGTAATCCTTGGTGATGAATGGGGTTAAGGCTAGAGAGAGTAGCAGGAGATGTCGCTGAATAGATCTGGTCACCATAATCAAGTTTTGATAAAATGAGGGTGGAATGTAGGCGAAGGAGGGTTCGACGATCAGCTCCCCATGAAAGATGAGCAAGGGTTTTAAGAAGGTTCAGCCGGCTGTGACAAGTTGCCTTCAGAGAGGTAATGTGAGGTTTCCAGGATAACCTACGGTCAAAGAGGAGGCCCAGAAACTTAACTGTATCACGTTCAGGGATACGAGAGCCATAGAGATACAAAGGATGATCGGAGATGACAGTGTGTCTAGTGAAAGTAATTTGGTGGGGTTTAGTGCTGGAAAATTTAAACCCATGTCTGGTGGCCCAATCGGAAACACGGTTGACTACATGCTGGAGAGAAACTGTAGTGAGGTGACAGTCAGTGCCTGCACAGGCAATAGCGAAGTCATAAACAGAGTGATGACCAAATATTTGATGGAAGACTAAAGGCCAAATCATTAATAGCAAGGAGAAAAAGTGTTGTGCTCAGAACACATCCCTGGGGGACACCTTCAGCTTGGATAAAGTCCGGGGAGAGCACATTATTAACCCGAACACGGAAATGTCTATCAGTTAAAAAGTTCTTAAGGAAGGATGGTAGATTGCCTCGGAGGCCTAAGGAGTGGGCTTGGGCCAAAATATTATACCTCCAAGTTGTGTCATATGCCTTCTCAAGGTCAAAAAATATGACAATAACTGAGTGGTTATTCACAAAGGCATTACGAACATACGTATCCAAGCTTAGTAAGAGGTCTATGGTAGAACTTCCCTTACGAAAGCCATATTGATGAGTGGAGAGACTGTTGTGTGTCTCTAAATACCACACTAAACGTCTATTAACCAGGTGTTCCATCACTTTGCAAACTGCACTGGTAAGAGCAATGGGACAATAGTGGGAGGCTTCATGTTCCATAGTGCCTGGTTTGCGGAAAGGGAGAACAATGGCAGATTTCCACAGCTGTGGAAGAACTCCTTGTGACCAAATAAGATTGAAAAGGCGTAATAGGACTGCAAGGGCTGACTGATGTAAATGTTGTAGCATACGAATATGAATGTCGTCGGGCCCAGCTGCCAATGATCAGCAAGCTAGAGTGTTGCCTCCAGTTCTTGAAGTGTAAAAGGCACATTATACTGTTCTTCTCTGAGAGAAGAAAAGTCCAAGGGTGCTAACTCTCTGGCAGACTTTGAGGAAAGAAACGAGGGGCATAGATGTAGCCCCTGAGAAATACGGACCAGATGATTGCCAATTTCAATGGCAACATCTAGTGGGTTTGGTATATCAACACCGGCAACCCGCAGAACAGGAGCCGGGTCAGGAGAATATTTACCACTCAGTTTTCGTATTTTTTTCCAGATTGCACTCATAGAGGAAGCAGAGGTGATGGTGGAGACACAATCTTGCCAGCAAGTGCGTTTAGCATCACGGATGACATGGCGAGTGATCGCACGCTTCTGCTTAAAATCAAGAAGTCTCTCCGTGGTTCTATTGTACCAGTACCTGCCCCATGCAGCGCGTTTCAAACATACTGCACGAGCACAAGCAGGAGACCACCAAGGCACACATTTCTGAGAATGCCTGCCCGAAGTTTGGGGTATAGAATGAGAAGCTGCGGTTAAAACGGAGGACAACAAGAGGTGTAAAAGCTCATTAATGGAGGATGAAGAAGGAACCTCACTAAAAACAGTTAGTTGTGAGTGAAGGTTCCAATTTGCCTAATCAAATTGCCAGCGTGGGATACGAAGAGGTGGTGTATATGAAGGGGAAGTAAGAATGATTGGGAAATGATCGCTGTCATGTAAATCCGGGAGAACAGACCAGGTGAAGTCTAATGCGGCGGAGGAAGAGCAGACTGAGAGATCGATGCAAGAGTGTGTGTGAGTCCGAGGATCAAAATGGGTGTGAGTACCTGTATTTAACCCCTTCAGGGTCCAAGGCCAAAATCTAAAAAAAAAAAAAAAAAAAAAAAAAAAAAAAAAAAAAAAAAAAAAAAAAAAAAAAAAAAAAATATATTTTCTTACAGAATTACAGAGCATATTTTTGTGAAGGTAATAAGACAAAAAAAAATTTCTGATCAGTACTTACTGAGATACAGTGCCAAGAAGTTTGTCCAAAATGATGTGGTGGCGGCAACATCGACGAATTCCACATACGCACATTACATTATTTAGCGGTTTTTATAGTTTTTTTCTTTTCTTTTCCAATTTTTTTTCTTTTCCAACTAACATTTGGGGCCTGAGAGACC